GCAAGAACTTTAAGTGTTTTAGAGGCAGAAAGGTTAAGGCAATGTCTGGCGCAATGGAAGTAATCAGGAAGTGGTGCTGCTTTCTTTACATAAGCTGCTGCTCCAATTCGCTCACTTGACATTGCTGAAGCACCACCATTGTAACCTTACCCGATGCAAAAACCAGGGTCCAATCCTATTCGGCTTATCTCCCTTAGGATAACATTCCAAATGTTTTCCCCGGACATCTTCATCTCTTGTACTGTTATTACACTTTCGGTCTCAGAAGCCTCTCCATCTACATTTTGCACCCCTCCTCTTTGATCTCCTTGATTGCTTCCAGCAAATCTAAGATAACAAATGGCATCTCGGGTAGTTGCAGCTTCGAGCCATCATCATATGCAAATCGTAGTGCAATCGTTACCAGTTCTCTTTTTGCTTGGCCAGTTGTTTCATTTGCCATGATCGAGTAATAGGATGCTTCTTTTGCCATCATAAAAACTATGCGCTCCTTTATAGGGTTGGTTGAGAGACTAAGAATCTCATTTTGGATTGTTTTTGAAACGTAGCGGGCATTTTTGGGGCATTTTTCAGGCGTTACCTGAGTTGTTCGTCTCCTGCCTCAACAGCGTGGCGGACAAAAACCCGAAAATTTCTATCATTATAGTTTGGCTTTGACAGCACTTCCCCATCGTCTCGATGACCTCTAAAAGAAATATTCCGCTGGCCAAATAACATTGTCAACTTCATGATGCTTTGCAAAACTGCTCGAATTCTTGAGATTATTTCGCCAGATTCGCCGTACATCAGTGATAGCGCATCTTTTGGATTCTCTACCGTGGCCGTTCTCAACAAAAACTCTTTCTTTCGCTCCATGTTTAAAATGTCGAATTGTGATGCTTTGTGTTGAGTAATATAGCCATCTTTCCCATAGAGCTTTTTGAAATTCTTCAAAGGTTTACTTACTAGGTAACCCATTTTTTGCCCTCTCGTTTAATCTGAGTGCTTCATTAGGGTACAAACTTTACACCAAAGCCCCTCATGACCACCTGCTCAGCTGACAGTTAACCATCCATCTTCCTCCTGGAGAAGAACTAGTGATACACGTCGATTACATTTGGCAGATGCATCGTATGATGAAGAACAGTCCTCCTGATTCGTCGGTCTCCAGTGATGTAACACACCCACTATCAGTTCCTCCACACTAATATCTTTCTTTTGCAAGAAGAAGGCCACATCTTGATTCTTCGATATAAGTTGGCTTTTAGTCGGGTTAGCACTTTGAATATTGCTTGAAGTGACTGTGAACAGTGTTCTGTCTCTTTGTGTTGTTTCTGGGTGCTTTTCTACAATTTCAGGTTGCTTCTGGGTTGCCTCATTTGGATCTAGCTCTACCATAGCCTCATCATCAGCTGTATCGTCGTTAATTCCAGATAAATCGATATCCTTGCTTTTTGGTTCAGCTACAAGTGGCTCATATTCACTTTGCACAGTGGCTTCAGCGTTTGATATTTTTCTTTCCAAACAAAAAACGCATGCTCTTGCTGCCTTTGCACTCTCGATAAGCAGACATTTTTTTGCGTTTCGATTTTCAGATCCACTCAACTTTTTTTCTTCATTCTATCTTCACCTTCCCTTTCATCCTTTTCTCTGTCTTCTTTCTTATCAACATCGGCCATTCTGCAAAGTAAAGATTCAGGCACAATCAAAAACTCCTGAAGAATAAATATTATTGAACTATTAAATCTTCATAAAACGCATTCTACTCGGGTCTTTCTATGCAAATCCCATCTTCTACGTATTTCATTTCAAACAACCAGGAATCTTTACCTGCATGAACAGTTAAAAAGGAAATCTTTATAAGCTGCTGCTTTATAAGTGCCCTTTCAGGTTGTGACTGTTTGCATTTATTGATTGAATAGGTTTCGGATGGATGTTGGCCCTAACTGGGATGCCAAATGTTACTGTTGTTACTGAAAACGATTATTTATTGAATATAAATAGTCATATTTATCATACAGAAAAACTACATCCACCTGCATGTGTGGACAAACGCAATTTGCTTGTCGTTACATTGAAGCCATGCCTTTTGTTTTCTAAACTCCCTTTACACATTTCGAGAGGCTGAAGCAAAAGTAAATAAAAATTAAAGTACAAACCTTTCTCTCCGAAGGAGCAGCTTTCAGGTTGTCTACTTCACAGGTTTGTTTGGTAAATTATGATATAAAAAAGAAAAATGATATAAAAAAGAAAATTTTACGTGCTCTCGCTTCGCTAAAGACAACTCGCATGTGTATGATATGAACCTTTCTGACCTATGTTGAAGATACTTTAGAATCATTTCCTTCCCTCATTATAATATCCCCTTGAACTGGTAACATCCATGAGGATGGGCTAAACTTGGCTAATAGTTTCGTTTGCTACAACGTGAAAATGTATGATAATTAATGGTGATGTTATAAAAACGACCAGAATAACTATCACATTAATTGACACTTGAAATTAGAAAGTCAAACAAATAGGAAAGATTGTAAACTTTTGTTTGCAGGGCGATAAAAACTATTTTTTGGGTTAATCTTTATACCCCGGCCTGAGCACCCTAATCCTAAAAAAAAAACAAGTACAATCCCTGGGGCTTCAGGCTGCGTCCCCAATGTGAACTTTAGCCTTAAATTCTATGAGACAATGTTATTACTCCGTCCGTCAGCTCAAGAAACCCACTGTTGGTCATCAATTATCAAACATTGGCTATTTTATCTTCAATGCGGTCGTCAAAGACATTGAAAGTATGAAAACTTTTGATGGGGGATTAAAATACCTAGTTTATATTGACTGAAATTGAAAGCATCTCTTGAATTTAGATCTAGAAATAGCTGACAGTGAGTAATAGATGACATTAAATATTAACGATATTAATTACATCAGAGGACCAATATTGTTTGTCATTATGAGTTTTAAAATGAATTCTATTTCTGGCATCAATGCCAGGTCACCATCATCATCATGACCATGATTATCTTTTACTCGTAAAGAGTTGTACACCAATATGCTTACAATAATCATCAACTACCATCATCTGCAGAATCTCAAAAAAGTTTTTACTGGGTGATCTTCAAGCTAATTCCCCAATGAAAAAGCATGTAATTTCAAGTTGTATGCATAATTGGAAAATTGTTGCTAAAATGGCGTTGTCTCTTCAAGGTCCGGTAGTAAAATGCAAGAGGCGAGTTCATTATAAGAACATACAGAAGCTCGATTTACAAATAAGTAAGAGCAACGTAAAACCTTAAGAGCCTCAAGACTTAAATTTGAAATACAGAGAGCAATCTGTTTTTTAAAATTCCCTCTGATAATAACAAAACAGAGCAGATTTTATCTGCTAATCAATCGTTTAACTAAAATGGTTATTTCTTGTCATCTGTTAATCTTAGAAACAATTTACAGCTTGCAGGTGGTAAACCAATTTTGAAATAAAAAAATTAAGAATATTCAAAAAATAAGATACGAGCATTGAGCCACGACCAAATGTATATGTTATCCTTTAACCAGAGAAACGCTGGAAATGTGACTGAGTAGAGAGTTTCGAGAAGATGTAGTGATTGATAAAGTTTGCAAGACATACGTAATAGATGTTAATGAGAAGTGGATTGATGAAAAAGGAAAACTGTATATATCGTGTGTCTTTTTAGTATTCTTGTATAAGATAGCATTGCGGGATTCAGGATGCTTCGTCACACCATCTACATTCCCAACAAAGAAAAACATAGCTGTTTCGAGGAAAGGCGCGAAAATCAATGCAGTCTCACATTTTTTGCGAAGGATTGTTGTTTTTTTTTTAAATTTATACGCAGGAAGTTTATTGTACGCCTTACTCTCAAATATAAATGGAGACCTGCACATATAATTCGAGTCTGCAACAATCGAGGTCATAATAATCATATTGGTGTAAATAATGAATATATCAAGCACTTACTGTTGTTTGCTATTTACATGGATAAAAGCATCTATAATTTTTTTTTTATAAAAATGCTATAAATTTTGCTTAAACTTAAAACTCTAAAGAAATTTTCGTTTTGAGCCTTAATATATTCTTAAAGTATTCTTTTTTTCTCAAATCTGATGTGGTTTCAGGGAACAGTGCTAGCACTTGAAGTCGTGCGATTCTCTGTTTTTAACAACGCAAAACAGGTAACTGCTGAAAAATGAGACAGAAATATGCGAGTTGAGGCTGAGCAATGTATTTATAACATTCTTAAAATTTGATTATTTTCAGCCTGAATACTCTTATAAACAATATTCTTATAAAAAGATTGTATTAACTTTGGCCTCAGAATTAACTGACACTAGATAAGCAAATAAAAAATTAGCAACCCAACATAAGAAAAATGAAGTGAATTCTTGCAAACAAGTGCTACGACTTTTTTTGGCAAATTTGTCTTGCAGAGATTTGCAACAGAAATTAAGGATGATAACGTGCAAACAGCCTTAGTTCGCCCAGCCTACCTGGCTTACACTTAATGCAGTTTGATATGTGACAGGGTCAGCCCAGCGCCAATAATATCACGATTGAGCTTGTGATCTGTGTAGCTTCCCGCCTAAATGTTTCAAGACAACCAGATGATCGAGACTGCAGGGGAGAAAAAAAGTCGTTTGCAACCTTTTTCATCCATCAATCGTAACTCTGACTATACTTCTTTATTAAAGGATTATCGACGAGGACCTGCCTGAGATGTTGCGCGTGTGAATGAATAAAGATTGCGCGAAAAAACCTTCAGTAAAAATAACAATAAAGAGCAGGCAATACAAAAACGAAGCTCGTTTTCTTCCAATTGTTCATGACTTTCTGCAACCCAAACTTTCAACACGCCTAAACCATAAGAAATCTATATATGTCAGGTTTAGCGTTCTTAACAACAACTTCGATGGCAAACAATTATGACTCACATATGTTCCGAAAAATAATTTACCGGAGATTGGTGACTTTCTTTTTAACGGAATCACTGGCAGCTATCAACAGGCACTGAGCACCGCAAACTTTTAATAAAATATAATAAAATACACCAACCATATAAAAAGCAAGGTTGAAGAACCCATAAAACGTGTATATCTGTTTAATCCTGCAAAACAATGTCACTTACGTATAATATATTCCCTTACAAGAAACAACCCCCCTTTAAAAAATTGAAGTCATAGCCGTCTAAATACGGGCCTTAAATGTAAACTAGCTCTGGTAGTTCATTGGCAGCGTACAATGTGTGAAAGACGTCATCAGATGTGACTTTAACAAGACGTACAAACCAGTTGCTCTTTTGGTTTACTTCGTTCGGCAAGATATGTATGTGGTGGTTAGCAGCATCATCCTCTCTTCGATCATATCTTTCCCTGCACAGCAAGTGGGTCACACCGCTTCTTTCAAATTTGTTAAGCCATCGCTCATAATCCGTTTGTTCATTTTCTTCTTTGTCGACCCTACCCCGGCATGGTGCACAGTCTTGAAGAATAATCGTCCGCTTTGCTTGAAATATCTGTTGCTGCAGTAATTCTGAGTCAATCCAATCATTTTGTTCTTCTCGTTGCATTATCGAGCCATTGTCGAGATCATCACGATAATAAACTGTATTCAAAACAAGGAAAGCCACTCCACACACCCAGAATCCGTACCAGTCGTCTCCAAAACTTCGTTTGTATATATCAACATCTTCCGTATCTAGCCTTCCTTTGAAATCTCCGGATGCTGCCACGTAAAGGACCTTGACCTGAGACTCGAGGCAGTCTAAAGCAGCTTCCAGCCGTAGTTTCGCCCTCGGAATTCTCTGATCTGTCTCTTGCTGACTGTCAGTCAAGCCTCCACACATCGCGATAAATTTTGGTAACGGCTTCATCTTATTGACATGAAGAAGAAACTTTCTAAAATCGCTGGCTGCGTCTTCGCGCGTAATCGTGTCATCCTTTGCTGTGAAGTACAGAAAGTAAAATGGCTCTGTGAGTGAAGGCTCTAGAATCCTTGTAAACATGGAAATTCTTCGCTCTCTCGCCGTCAAAATCCTGGTAGTCGTATCCTGCCCCAGCTTGTGCTCTAGGTTGCAAAAACTGTTTGACGCTTCTGGTGGGATCTCAAGCCTTAAGTTCACTCGACGCTCGGCGGTCAAGCTCATACTTATTCAAAGGCCGGATCTATTTTATATTCGCTACAGAATATCCTTGCTTCTCTTGGGCTAGTGAAAATCTTCTTTGAACAGTGAGAAAAACCCTCGGACATCGTATGCGGCTCGTCAATGATCGCAAGGCGAGCGTCTTAACAAGTGTTCGAAGCACAACGATCCATGGCTATATTTTGTAAACCACATTGCAGTTTGCAGCTGTCACATAAAAATTAGCATAAGAATAAGACTATTTATCCTAAAGTTCTCCACTGCTGAATTTGTACGTCAAAGAAAATGTGCACACGATAATATCTTGATATGTATGTTCATTTGACGTTACAAACAGCCTTCCATGCCGTCTTTTGACGAACATCTAAACAAAACACTGTGCAGTGAACTGTACATTATTCAAATCGTATTAAGGGAGACAAATGCTACTTTAACATTCTAAAGACACTAAAAACCTTAGAGAACAAAATTTCATGCAAAATTGTGCAAAACTTCTCGTATATGAAATAAACTGCATAAAAATAAAATTTCTGGGTTTTTCCAAAGAAAACTCAAATAATGGGAAATATATTTGCATCATGGTAGAGAGGATTACTGTGACATTACTTTAAAATGATATTATAGGCAATATCAGATGCTTGTTGTATCATGAAGTAATGAAATTGATAATAAAATGCGTACTGCGAAATACAATGGTACAACACGTGGCAGGAAAATTTTTCTCGCAACTTCTCAAACTGATTGATACTCCAAAATAACAGAACTGAACTAGCAAAAGTATGCATAGGCCAGAAACTTTAACAAAAATATTGATTGACAGTTTGCTGGTCAAAGTATTACTTACAGTGGAGATGATAATCTGTTAGACTATACCGTTATCAAAATAGAAATCGTTACATTTTCACTAAGTAGCTAGGAATAAGATGTAGTTTTGAATCCAGTAGATAAGAAAGAAAAACCAAGGAAATATTGGGGAGGAAAAGTAAACATGTAAATCGAGGTGAAACTTTAAGATATTTTAATATAAATTTCATTATATCCAACATGCTCATTTTGATAGCTGGATGAAATTTGACTGAGGTCAAAAATGTTGGCTACCGTCATCCAACAATTCTATTGTTTTGAAGTGCTGGGTGATATGTTGGATCGTTTGACCACCTCAGCAAACACTTTTAGCTCTGCGCACGCCCAGTTGGTTACAGACCGCCAAAATTCACTCATCGCATCGTTTTTTATTTCTCGGGCTGGTTTCGTTCGTTAAGGACAATATAACGAAATATAACGAATTCTGCGCGCAAGAAGAGGTATTAAACGTCAATGAATAGCCTGTAGCACAGATGTGCCACAAGAAAGCGCAGGGAGACGAATTTAGGCCACAGCTTTGATGGGGAATTCGACGCTCATCCTGAAAGATCGCGATAACAGTGAAAATATCCGAAGAAAAAATAATAGAGAAGGCGGTGACTTCCTTTCGCCTTTTCGGATCGAAATGTTGCGAAACTGTGCAGCCTTCTGCACGATCTTCTACCCAGCTCTTTTTCCATCTGCGCAAGAAAATGTTTGGTGAAATGTTAGATCGTTTGATCATCAAGGCTGGATTACATTCCAACATAAATGAAAAATGCTGGGTGAAATATTGGGTGAAATGTTGGGCAAAATGTTGGGCAAAATTTTAAATCGTTTGACCAGGGCTTATGTCGCACACCTAGATCCATTTAAAGCACATGGGAACAGCACTTTGATTTGGCTTTGAATTGAAACTAATACAAATGTTAACTGGATGATTTAATGGATGACACTTGATAGAGGAAGCTTTGAAAAACATGCAGCTTATTCAACTAAAACGACCCTTCGTTGAGCAAGTTGAATCAAGAGATTATTCCAATGTTGCGCTATTTGTTTTGAAAAACGGGTAAATAATTTATGAAAGTTTTCTTCTTAGTGAATATTTAAGAAATCCATACTATGGATTAATAAATGCTGGAGACAGAAAAACAATTGAGGCAAATTTTGCAGGCTATTTAAGGCGTTTAACATGGCTTTCAATGGTTTTTCTCAGCCAAGCCACACTAAGAAACAACAAGGGATGAGAACAGCTTTTCAAACGAAAACTGAAATAACGACAAAAAAGCTGCAATAATGCCTTCTGATTAGAATTAAATCACAGGACTTTGTAACCCATTTGATCTAGCGCCATTCTATGCTTACAACAATGAAAAGTTTCAGAGGAAAGAAACTACAGCAAAGAAGGAGCTAGGCAAAGACATCAAAAGTCAAAAGCATCTTTCTTTTGCTAACACTGCTTAAAATATGTACTCTGTTATCTACCATGGTGCTTCAAATCTGTTATCTACCATGGTAACTCAATCTTCGAAAGACATCTCTAGACATAAAACTTAGTGAAGTTTCGTGGGAAGACAGCATATAAATGTCAGAAATGCAATCCCGAATCTCCAAACAGCTGAGTTTCATTTTGCAGAAAGCTTTGTATTCTGTTATCTTTCGATGAAGCTGCAAGTTTTCTCATGCTAAGCAGCTAATTTTACATAAGTCTATGCTAGTAGTAATCAAACTGGTGTGAAAATTCTAGTACAGTAGACAGGTGGTAAGTGCAAAGAGACTTGGTTAAAGAGATAACACAACTAATGAGTGAGTAATCCTCTCCGATGCACATGTTCTAACATCAAAGAGCTGGGTGGCTCGTAGACTTGCTCAATGAGCCTCTGTTTCGCTATTGTCTCACTTTACCTATGATATAGAAATCATTGCATTTTACGGAACCTAAAACAGATTGGGTGTCTATCGATTCAACTCAATAGCATTATTGGCGACTCACAGAGTAAGTCTAGGTGGCTCTTAGAAGGTTTCACTTGTTCCGTCTCCAACGAATTTGGGATACAGTTGTTGCACCTTTGAAAAAGTAAACAGCCGAAGACAGTGGTTGCTGTAAGTCAAAGAACCAAGACAACAACACAAGCCAGCCTTGATCCCCAACATAAAGACTGACGCACTCGATAAATTTACTAATAAAGCTAGACAAATATAAAGAAAATGAAGCAAATAATTGCTTAGAAAAGGACAAGGAGGCTGGGGGCTGGGGGCGCGTTCTCAGTGGCGTAACACAGTTTAGGGGACTTTAGTTCGATGACGAAGGGCCCAAGAACAAAAGGGCTTAAATGACTTTTATATCCATCTTTTTGGGACTTCGCTCAAGTTTACCATATTTTCAAAATCTTCTTTAATTGACGCTTCTGTAAATCATCTCCCCTTTTAACTTAGTTAACTAGAAAAATTGTCGCTTTTACAACTTGCTATTGTTTGCGATGCTCTACACCACTGGATGGGGCGTTCTTGTTGACCGTAAATAGAGGTCCTGCCTGTTTTTCCTTAAGGCCCCATATATTTACGTTGCGCCACTTCGCGCCCAGCGTTTTTCTGGTTAAGAAGATGCAAAATAGCGATAAAGAGACTAAGAGTTGCATGCAGGGTTCTTAGATCATTTTTGCAACTCAGGCAAAGCCATTTTGCTATTTTACTGCGTCGTTTTTGGTGCCAGGTAGTCTATAGCAGCAGAAAATTAAAATCCATTCCCGTTAGCATGTAGCACGTTAAAATATTTTGCTAAGAATTTGCAGAAATGTTTCCTCTATTTCTACTTTGCGCCAGAATTGTGACACTCCTTGGTACCACGGCACAAATGAAAGATATATAATTCTAAACGCCAATGTTTTTATTCCACGCTTATCTTCTTTGTATTAATTTTCTTCGCGCTGAAATTACCGCGCGTTCATTTCCTAGAATAAGGTATATTTTTACAACTGAATGTATGAAAATTGTTAAAATTTTTCAACCGTGGGCCTAGTTTCTGCAATAAATAAGTTTGTTATGTGTTTGAGCTAAAGGTTGCAGCAGGTGGTTTTGTTCAGCAGTGTGTCGAAATGGAAAGATATATAACAACCTGGCCATTATTCCAACATTTACTATGATATCAACAAGAAATGCGTCGTCAACAAAAGCCAATTGCACTTTCTGCAGGGCCTCCGAAGGGGGGGGGGGGGTAATCTTTTTCTATGGGTGTTAAAATGTTCTGTCAATACATTGTCTGATTTCCCTTTTATGCAAAGTATGTTCGTATTAGATCAACATGTGGGGTGTTAGCGTTTTCATCAGACCATAATAGCTAATTTAATTGTATATTTAGTTCTACTCTTTCAGGCAGTGGAGAAAATGAAAATCGACTTAACTAGATTATTCTGAAGATTTTTCTGCTGATCTAAGGTATTGACTATTTTGTTTTCAAACTTCTTCCCTTGAAACCTTCTTTCATTCAAATTGTGGTACGATTTGTAAAACAAACATGGAGGATTCAGTCAGTCTAAAGATTTAATTCAGTCAAAAACTTAATTATTTTTTTGACAAATAGTGTTTACACTATTTCTACAAAAAGTAAACTAGTACTTACAAATAATGCTTAATTTTTAGGAAAATAAAGCATGGTGTTTACAAGACTCATCTTAAATTCAACGAAATAGCTATTTACAGGAAAACATCAAATGCATTACCATGTCTCTAATCAGGAGTTAGAATCAGAAGATGTCTTCTGTCCTACCAAACTTGAAGACCAATGCACTGCAAATGTGAATAATAGACAGTTCAGAGAATTTCTGCAGTAAAATAGCATCTTCAAAGACAATGGTCATGGCAAAAATACTGATACAAACAATTAATAGAGAAATGATGAGCAAACTTCAATGTGGTGACAATGAAAGAAAATTAATTGAAGATATGCAGCAATAGATTGTAAATTAACCGCAACAATAATTTGCTGTTTACCTCTGCATGTAATATCAGCAAAAAAGCTTAAATCAATGGATAATTCCTGTTAAAGTTTTTAAATTTTAACTGATGGAGGACATAAAAAGTGAAGTTACTAACATGAAGCTTGTTATTGATTGCAACTAAAGTCAAGACTGAAATTCATCTGGTATAATACCAAAATAAGGTAATTTTACACATATACAACATACCTAATATGTTAGAGATTCTATGATTTTGGCAACATTTCAAAAGTGCGTCAAAACTCAAATCTGCCTTAAATAATCTAGTAATCCTTGGATCCATTTTACCATAATCAGAACTATATCTCTATGTAGTGTAGATAAAGCAGAGGAAAACACATGTTTTTGACATGATTTGAATAAAAATGAAACTGCAAAGTACTTGATTTGAATAAACATGAAACTAAATGGATCAGAAATGATTAAAACAGGTCTATCAAAATTGCAAAAATTCATGTTCTTCAAAAAATAGATCTAAAAAGATCACATACCTAAAGAAAATGAAGGAATTCTGCAGAAATATTGCAACACCAGGCCAAGGATCAGGAACACCTGTAATGTAAGAAAGAATTTTGAAAAATGTTCTTGAACTCTAACTGTAATACGGGATTATATTCATTGAGGGCTATTATTTTATCAATGATATATATAAAAACTTTCAAGTATACTGTAGAGGATTAAAAATTATCCAACAGTCGTAGCTAATGAAGCCAAAATATAAATAGACAGAATACTAACCAGTGACAACATATGCTCCAAACAGGACCCAACAGGCACCTATCAACCCACCAAAGCCCATGATGAATCCAATCAAGAGCCAAATTCTTGCTCCTTTAAAATGCAGTTCCAGATTATAATCATTATCTTATCTCTTCACAAGACAAAATTAAAAAAGCTGTCAATCAAGATGACTATAAGATTATGCCCTTAAAGTTTGAGAAAAATAACCAAAACCATCTTACAAAATTAAATAACAAAATTCCTGTCTCCAATAAAGCATGTATAAAAGGGGAAACACAAAAGCAATCTTAAAGGTGCAGGTTTTTTTATTTTATTTTATTTTATTTTATTTTATTTTATTTTATGTTATGTTATGTTATGTTATGTTATGTTATGTTATGTTATGTTATGTTATGTTATGTTATGTTATGTTATGTTATGTTATGTTATGTTATGCTAGGGTATTATTGTTATTAGGGTATTATTGTTATTTTATGCTTGTTATATTATTTCAATGTTATGTTGTTTTACCTTATTTCATTTTATGTTTTATAGAACAATAGACACTTGCTTACCAAGCTGAATATATACCAATTTTGTTAGGCTGTTGCTTGTTATGTTTTTTCTAAAGTCATGAAAAATTTTAGCATTATACTGATTAAACTGAAATTAAAATGGGACATGAAACAAGAAGCTAGCTTACCTGTTTGCCCTAAACAACCTGCTTCATATGAGTCTCCTCTAACCTGTGCATTTGACACTGCATTCACCCTTTAATCATGGAAAATTGAAAAGCTATTAAGATTAAACAATAATCTTAAACCTTAACTTTGTCAAATGTCAACGGCACAATAAACCTACAATTTAGTGGCTGAGTCACAATGGCTATTGAATCTATATTTGCACCATTTAGAAAATAATCCAGCTACAATCATTGCCAAAAGTACTTGGAACACCCAGCGCAATTTGTGTTGTGTTTTTATATTTTTCAATTCTTTTCCCGGATATTCCTGTTTCCGACCCCATTCCCCTCAAACAATGTTGATAATTTAAGAAAAATAACAGAATTTAGTCACAGAAAAAACATTCTTTCTAATCCCCTACATCGTTTTGTAGTAAACCAACATTGTTTAAAGGGGGAAGGGGAATGGGTTAATTTGCCCTTGGAAACTGATGTTAGCGTACCAAGACTTTTGGCAAGGATTGTATATCAGCAAGATACTGTCAAATATACTGTCAAATATATCAAATGTAGGCCAAACCTTTATTGCAAAAAATAAAGATTTAAAAATCTAAGATAATTCTGGCATTCATTAAATTATGTTATTATGGTTTAATAGCTGATTAAATTTTTGTTCCCTTACATGAAGAGAGCAATGGTGGAGGCAACACCGCAGAGGTGGAATGTTTTGTTGGTCAGTGGGTCATTGGCAGCTGTATCAATAGCAAACCACCAACCTATAAAAAACTAGAAAAAAGCAAATACTTTAATATTCAGCTATAAACATGAATAAAAAAAACCAAACAGAAGGTTAACTAAATAGAAATGATTACAATGTCTTTTTACATGACAAAACTTTTTGTCAGTTGTTTTCCTTCTTTTTTAGTTGGTAATGTTTGGAAAGGCTCAAATGCCTAGAGAGAAAAGATCAAGCTTATTTGTTTTGTTTTGAATAAAGACAGTTTGTGAGAGTCTGTGAAACAGAAAGAGGGTAGAGCACTGCTTTACAGTGCTTACAAATTAGCCTAACACCAAGACACTAAAAATCATTTGGAAAAAGTTTCTCATTATATTGAATTTAATTTAATTTAATTGAATCATGGCGCAGGTTAGAGGAGACTCATATGAAGCAGGTTGTTTAGGGCAAACAGGTAAGCTAGCTTCATGACTTTACGAGCTCCGATAACCCTTGTTTTAATAGCACTATCACAAAGCTGTTTAAACTCAAAAAGAAATATCTGTGATCTTAATGACATCAAGAGTCACAAAGATACTGCCTACATGGTTCAGCTGGAAGCAATGAATTCTACGCATAAAGGAAGATATGGCACTGTGATAGACCGACGACAGCCATGCCCTAAAAGCAACAAGACTCATCGCTCAACAGAACTTTATTATGATTATGCTGATGCTGTGTGGTGATGTGAATATGAACCCTGTCCCTAGAAAACTAAAATATCCTTGTCAAGTCTGTGAAAAAGCTGTAAAATGGGGGCAAAGAGCAAAATTGCTTGTGGGAACTGCTTTTATTGGTTTCATGTGACTGCATAAAAATGGGATCAAAGATTTATGAAGCAGTGGCATACTCTTGTCTTGAATGGGTATGTTATCATTGTAGCCTGCCAAATTTTTTCTAGCCTGTTTGAGGCAACTATACCTGAATCTTCAAATAGCTCAGCTTACTTACATCCAGTAATTCAAATTCTGGAGCAGCAGTTGAGGGTACTACTCCAATTTTAACATCAGCTCCCAGGAGGGTTCACAAAGATGACAAAGAATTTGAAACATGTAAGAATAAGTAAAAACAGCAAAGAAAAAATGTCAAAATTATTATCATCAATTTCCAAAGTATCACAAACAAGAAAGAGGCTATTTTAGACATGCTGGACTCAGGAAGCCCTGGTATTATACAGTTGTGTGCAAAAGTTTAAGACCAAGTGTCACATTTTTCCATTTTTCTTGGTTAACATCAAAATAACATTTCTTGTTTAAAAAACCATTCTAATATATATACATATGATGTTTTTTGGAAATGTTGGCATTTCTCCACAATTTTATCCTGGTCTTAAACTTTTGCGTAGGACTGTAGTGGGAACAGAAACATGGCTCAAAAATGATATAAAGAATAGTGAAATATTCCCTGCAGAATTTTATGAAGTAGAAAGGGGAAGACAGACAGGATGGTCATGGTGGTGTGCTGATAGCTGTTAAGAAAGACTTCAACCCCTAAAAGAAATCTATCAATGATGCAGGAGAGGAATTATGGGTGAAAATATCTCGCAACAGAAAAAGTCCAATCATAATAAGATCCCTATATAGACCACCAATGTCTGATATAACATACATGCAAAACTTATGTTTATCAGCTGAGACCATGATTAAGAAAGATGAAAATGCAATATTCTGGATTGGTGGGGACTTGAACTTGCCAGACCTTGATTGGAGCCTAAATACTACTGTTAGCCACCAGATTTCTGCATGAAAACTCCCTACAACAAATGGTAAACAAGCCAAAAATGGGTCAAAACATACTTGATCTCTTTATTACTAACATATCTACCTTAATAAACAGATTTGAGATAATGCCAGGTATAAGTGTTCATGGCACTGTCTTTTTAAATACTAACATTGAACCACAAAGACAAGTCAAAAGAAAGTTGTACATCTGGAAAAGGGCTAACTGTGGAAAATTAGAGAAGAGCTTGATGCATATTCAATAAACTTCATTAAAAAATTCAATGTAAACAGTGCAGTTCAAGATATGTGGGATTTCTTCAAACAAATTTGTCACAAAATGATAAATGACCATGTCCCTAGCAAATTACCATCCACTAGATTTAATCAGCCATGGATCAACAGAACAGTAAAAAGTCTGTCACAGAAGAAACATTGTCAATGGAATAGAGCTCGTAAATCTGGCAAAGAGAGTGATTGGGCTAGATTCAAGGCATTGCAAAAGCAACAGAAAAAAGTTTGCAGGAGTGCATACAATTCATTTATCAGCAACATGGTAGCCCCAGACTTGAAAACAAAACCAAAAAAGTTCTGACAATTTATCAAGAGTATCAGTATCAATGTAGATGTAGATAGAAGAGTAAAAGACATGATACAGTTGGTGTCCCTCCAATAAGAGCAGCAAATGGAATTACATACACAGATGATCAAACACCTTGAATGCAACATTCAAATCAATATTAAATATCAAGGCCAACCAACATGTTCCTGACTTAAGTCACAGCATAATTCCTAGTATACTCAATATCAAAATAAGAGAAGAGGGAGTCTTAAAATTTCTAAAAAATCGAAATTCAATCCTCCATACTCAAAGATTGTGCAAGCCAGTTAGCACCAATCTTAAAGATTATATACCAAGCATCAATGAAACAATCAATCATTTCAAACAACTAGAGGAAAGCCAATGTCATACCAATTTTCAAAAATGGAGATAGGGCCAATCCTGAAAACTACAGACTGATATTGTTAACAAAGAGCACATCATCCATCAGATCCTTAAGTTAGGATCATTTCAGCAAATTTAACATCCTTTCTGGTGCCCAACATGGATTCAGACCAAAGAGATCCTGCGAATTGCAGCTGATAATAATCATCCATGAAATTACCCAAGCACTTGATCAAGGAGAACAAATAGATGTTATACTACTTGACATTTAGAAAGTGTTTGATGAAGTGCCCTACAAACGACTGCTGGCAAAATTAGATGGGATCTGAGGTGACTTAAATGCCTGGATCTACTCATTTCTTTCTAATTGCACTCAGAGAGAAGTTGTTGGAGGTGAACAATCTAACAAAGCAAATGTTATAACAGGAGCCCCCACAGGCTCAGTATTAGGCCCAATCCTCTTTTCAACCTACATCAACGACTTGCCATCAGAAGTAGAATCACAAGTTTGCCTTTTTGCTGATAACTGCATTCTTCATAAAAAGATCAAACACCAAAGTGATGCTTCCGCTCTGCAGAAGGATCTCAATAGACTACAGAAATGGTGTGATTACTGGCTTATGTTCTTTCACCCTGAGAAATGCGAAGTCCTGCGAGTAACAGAGAAGTCCATAAACAAGATAAAAGACCACAGTCTAGAAGTAGTTTCCAACAAAAAGTATCTTGGGATTGTTCTACACAAAAAATCTCAGCGGGAATAATCAAACACAAAAAGTCTGCTCTTAAGAAAACAGCATGTTGGGCCTCCTCAGAAGAAATATGAGCAGCTGCCCTCAAGATGTGAAAGATGCATGCTATAAAACACTTGTTAGGCCAATTCTTGAAGATTTGTGCACTGTCTAGGATGCTCATACGTCAATAAAACGTCAACAATCTTGAAATGGTTCAGCAGGGGAGTGCAAGATTTGTCTATGGAAATTACAGCAGGACTGCCAGCCCGAGTGACATGATAAAAACTTTAAGAGGGGAAAGCTTAGCTGAAAGAAGAAAGAAATTCAAGATCATCATGATGTATAAGATTAATAACATCCTGATAGATATTCCTAAAACTTTTTTAAACCAGCTAATCTCCACAGACATTGTAGCAATATGATATTCCACATACCATACTGCCACACAGACACATTTTGGTTCTCATTTATAACAAGCGCAGCTAACATTTGGAACTCACTGGCAGAAAATATAAGAAAACAGAATTCCTTGGGCACCCTGAAAAGGGCATCAGATAGCCTAAAGTAGAACCTTACTAGTATTTGCTAATTTGCTAATGCTGTTGTTTTGGCCTCACGCTCCTGGTAATATTTGCAGTAAACCTACAATATTACCCGCATTCAAGCTCTTCATGGGGTCACATTGCCAAAATATTTATTAATCATATTTACTTTTATCTTTATTCATTTTCTCTAACTTAATCATACTAACATACTAACCATTTTACGTGCGTATACCTATTTATAGGTTAATGTACAGTAAGTAATAGATAGAGATAGATAGATATAATTTTTGCATCAACTGTTTGCCCAGAAAACGTTTTTCAGGTATGTAGTTTGATATAATTTAGCAAATTTTGGTTATCTCCTGTTTTTGGTTAAATCTCCCTGTTTTTCTTAAGAAAAGAAACCCAAACCACCAGGTTTTGAAAATCTCGCGTTAATGCTGCCAGCATTTCGAATATTGCTCTACAACTTCAAATAGCTTTCTCGGTAGGTTTTTCTGTTATTAAAACATGAAAGTTTCAATTTATGGGTTACCTACAGTTGGAAGTGACAAAAAGCGTAAAGGTTATCGGAATTGATGAGGATAGGATTTAGGATCTAAACAAGATACAAACAAGAGCGTGTTCATCTTACCAACCCTCCAGCAACAACCGATGCAATTTGATTTCGCTTTTCTCCACAGTCTATCTCAATGTGGGGGCAATGAATTCCGTCTAGACAACCGCTCATTCTTCTTTATTTTTTTAAACTAAACTCCACATTTGCCTCTTCCTATGGCCTAACGAGACGAAGTAAGTAGTCCCCTCCTGCCCAGTGGCTCCTGCCCAGCTACAAATCTGCTTCATTCCAATGACCGCATTCCACAACTATGATATTTCACATCACATTCATTTTATGTTTCACGAAGAAAAGAAACTTTCTTGCCACTCCAAACGATAAGGCGTTCTTACTCTATGTTAGGTTATGCCCATGTGTTGTGCTGAGTTTGTTATGCTATTTTTGTTTTGTTATGCAGACCTGTCTACGTGGGGCGTCGCGAAAGGGGGGATGGGGACAGCTGTACCCCTCCCAGGGCCGTCGCTAGCGGGGGGATGCGGGGGGTGCGGCACCCCCCTCAAAAAAATTCTTGTCGGCAAATTTTCTAAAAGTAGAGTTTTGTCGGGTTTTACTTTCGAAGTTCTCAATGCGATAGTTTAAGCAAAATGTTTGGATAAGATGAGGATAAGACCGAAAAAGTATCACCCAAAAACCCTCAGCCATTCAAAATAGGTACAGATGGCGTTATGGATGTCACGGAGGGGCAAATCCACCAAAAATTTCAAATGACTCCCTGTCGGCAGCCGGAGTCTAGAATCTAATGTCCAATATCCAGGGCGACCTAATTTCTACCTAAAGTTTGGGGACAAAGTTTATTGAAAAACTCTGAACGTTGATCCTGGAGGTACAGGAAGCAACTGTAAGCAGGGCTGCCGAGGGGAGCAAGGGGGCAAAGTGCCTCAGGGCCTTGAGGTTGATGGGGCCTCAAGTAGTAATGAACTCCATTTTAAGAATGAAATCAATGAAACGTAGAAGAAGAGAAGTATGCCTAAAAATAGTTAAAAGTATCAAACGATTTCAAGAAATGACTGTAAGAAATATTCTGAAATGCATTTCAAGACAATCTAAAGGGTGTGGTCGCAAAAAAATTCTGCTCGCTCCGCTCGCAGGGGCCTCGTCTTTCGGCGTTCCTTCCAGGCCTTTGAAACCTCTTGGCGGTCCTATTAGTAAGATTTACTCATGTAAAACTAAGTACCCACAGTCATTCGAAAATTGAAGCGATGATTGACTAACGAGAATATACTCTTTGATAAACAAAATCAATTGCGTCAAAATACCACACCCAAAAATTAAAATGCCTTAGGCCACGCCCCATTTTGTCGGCAAATTTGTGACTGGCACCCCCCTTAGTGAAAGTGATTAGCGACGGCCCTGACCCCTCCAACACTTTTTCCGTCAGCACACAAAGGATTTTTATCGGGCAAAAGAAGAATTTTTTTCTCACTCTGTAACCTTTTTGCAACAATTTTAACGTATTGACATTTCTGTAGTAGCTGATATACGTATGTATGGCCCTAATGCATATATTCTGAAATAAAACGCATAAAAGCTGCATATAAGATTATCTATCTTGCGAGACACATCCTTTTTTGCAGGCAAAAATGATTTCTGTACCCCTCCGAAAAATTTATTATGGCTCCACCTTTGCTATCAACCAAAAATTTCAAATCCATTGAGATTTTAGATTTTTCCAGATGTTCTCACTTTGATCATAGTGATTTGATACTTGTTATTATGGTCAAAGAAACAGGGAGATCCCGGATTTGTTAAATGGTATTAACGACAGGGGCGGATCTAGACGTTCGCACCGTTCGCACATGCGACAGTCAAACTTTTAAAATTATGCTAAGAATCCGTCTCGTCCTTAACAACAACATTCTTGCTTATTGGCAAATTTCCCATTTGTGTTTTAAGTGTATTTGCTTGGGAATTATGCTTCAGTTATATTTGACAACTGAACACCGTGCAGGAGCAGGAAGATCCAAGGTCTGAATCATGCATGATTCAAACCTGGCCATAAACACAAGCAAAATCTTAAACACCATCTCTAATTCAATCTCGATCTTGATTCAATCTGATTCAAATCTCAAAGCATCCTGACTAAAAAACAACAAGGTACCAATGTAGTTAGATTAGGGTATTTCGGTGCACAGTATGATTAGTAGCACGTTCGCACCGATTCGCACAGCTTTTGTTTTAAAATATTTAACCAATCAAATTGCTAGATAGTGCGAACTTCGGTGCACAGTATGTTTTTTTAGTAAGGTCGCACCACTGGGCAAAGATTAATCTGTCCTCATTGCGTGTTTGTACAGTTTTGAGCTTATTTATGCCTGGCATGGGAATTTCTTCACTGGGGAATAGGAATTTTGTGTTATGGAGTCGACTGGCTACATGTATAACGAGTACGTTAAACCTGGTAATTTGGAAGACAAAGGTCGCTAGATTTTCAGAGTAACATTCGACACGGGATGTTTTCAAGTTTCCACATTCATTACCTCCTCCATGGATCAAGGGCCTACAAATTTCAATAAATGCCCTGGACTGGGGTGATACCTGCGATTTGGCTCTGGCGAATAAATAATATTCAGGACGTTGGCAGAGTGAAAAATTTTTATTTGGACAAAACTTTCAAAGTGAACCTTTTCAATGTGGATTCTCAGTTCTTTATCAGCTTTCAGATATTTCCGGGTAAAGTTTACTTGCTTGGGTATTCCCCTGAATTCGAAGGGGTTTCTTCGGAGTAAAATACATGTTTACACGCTGATTTGGTTTAGCTATTAAACAATATTAGTTATTAAAAAGTGCAGGTTTTTGTGAATATTTGTGTACATTTGTTCTATTTTGTTAGTTATGAAAATTCATTATAATGATATTTTTCATTTTTTGCGTGGCCTGGTTTGTCATCGTATACCATAAACAAATCGAGAGAGACGACTCGAATGTTTGCCTGATTATGAAAGGAAAACCGTGTCAATACGTTTAAGAATTTCAAGTTGTTTCTTGCTTTACGCTTGGCTAAAAAACAACACAAATGATTCTGTAGTATCAATTGAAAACTCAGATAAGGAATAAACAACAGTTTGACAACGTTCTAAATAAAGCCAATTTAATGTGCGTGTCGATTGCTCAAATGAGAAGGGGGCGAATATCCTTAAAAACTATGGGTGTGGTCAAGAATGATATTTCCGACCACACCCTTGTGTGCGACAGTCAGAATAATTTCTAGATCCGCCCCTGATTAACGACATATTTCACATTTCCTTTATAACAGTGTACTGAATGGAAAGCAATACAATAGACAGCCCCCCCCCCTTATATGCAGTGGTGGCGCCAGGGGAGGGCTAAGGGGGGGGGGCTACAGCTCCTCCTTCGGAAGCATCTAGCCCCCCCCCATCGGAGGAAATTTTAGGTTGTTGTCGGAGCAAATTTGAGAAAATAACGTACGAAAACTGCTAATTTTATTCATTTAACCCCCCTGTCGGAAGCTCCAATCCCTCTATGGGAAGATTTCTGGCGCCACCACTGCTAATATGATTTTCATTCCGACGACACCGACAGTGTTATGGTATGTCTGTTTTCTCTGTTACGGGTTGTATTGTATGTATGTTAAAATCTCTTGTTCTAGCAGGGCCTCCGACGAAGGGGGGGGGGATTTGGCCCCCCACTTTTTTGCAAAACAATAGAGTTTTTTTCAAAATCTTTTGTTATGGGTGTTAAATTTTCCCTTGGTCCCCCCACTTTTCAACCTTTGTCGGAGCCCATGTCTAGTTCCGTTTATGTATCCATTCCGTATTGTAAATTATGCAACTAGAATAAGCTTTTTGGCATTTTTCTATCGATTAAATCGTTAGCATTTAGAATTTACCATGACTTGAAATACATAAAATTAAAATTGGAATCCATAAAACCAAAACTCCAAATAGCAGCCTCGAGTCGAATGCGAGATCATGCCCACGCAGCGACCAAGGAACGAAACAACGTGATCCCCATCCTTTTAAAATGGTGGTCAAACAAAAATAGCTGGCCAACCTAAGTGTGATCAAGATGGGGAAAAACAAGCGTGGTCGCACCTCTAAAAAGTCGAAAGGCAGCAAAGAAAACGTCCAGTATTCTGTTGATGATTTGATGGATAAAGTGGAAGAGTATGTGGACTGTTTTGAGTACGATCTAGCGTTGAAATTTTGTGACAAGGCGCTGAAAATGGACCCATCGAACGCAAGAGTAATAGAAACCTCGGCGTGTGTATATGCCGAGACTGGTAACACGGATAAGGCAAAAACTTACTTTTCCAAGGCTGCTGAAGTAAATCCTGATAATGGACATGAAAAATATATGTATTTAGGACAAATGTCAGCTGGGCTTGAAGCACAGCAATGGTATCTAAAAGGGATCGATGTTATGAAAAACATGCTTAATAACAAAACCTCGTTAGATGACCAGAATCCAGCAGCGGAGGCTACAGCAAATACAGCAAAGTTTATGAATAAAGGATCTGTATCAAATACAGATGTATCTAGTGCATATTGTGCGTTAGCAGAGATCTTTATGACAGATTGCTGTTTTGAGGAAAATGCAGAGAACCAGTGTCTAGAATATTGCAAACAAGCAATTGATTGGGATCCTAACAATGTAGATGCTTATATTGTGAATGCTAACTTTTTGCTTAGCACGGAGAAGACAGAAGAGGCAAGAGATTTGTTAGGAAAGTGTTTCTCTTTATTAAAATTGAAGGAACAAAAGAGTGATTGTCTGGAGGATCCAGACAATGAGGAGATATCGGAGGAGATGGAGGAAATTGATGACAAAGAGAAAGAGCAAGATGAAAGTGATGAAAGTGATGAAAAAGAAAAAAATAAGTGCTGTCCTTCTTATGAATCAAGAGTTACACTTGCTAAATTGTTAACTGAGGTTAAAGAGTATGAAAAATCAAATCTTTTACTTGCTGGGTTGACAGAAGAAGATGATGAAGACATTTACACTTGGTATATGTTTGGGTTAAACTTTTTCTTTGGGGAACAATTTAGTGATGCAGTTGTTTACTTGCAAAAAGCAAGAGAATTATGTGAAAAGCTGCAATGTGATGATGAGGAATTGATTAATCATTTGCAAGAAATGCTTGGAAAATGTGAAAAAATAGATAATGGTTGCGATGAAGGGATGGAAATTGAGAATTAGAGAAGTCACTCAAGAGAATATGTTTATTTTATTCATCTTACTTGCTACCATGTCATTTGGCAGGTTTTGTTAGTGAACTTTTGGCATTATATTCCCACAGAAGCATATAATTCTCATTTTACTAGGACAATTCTCATTTTATTTGATTTCTCATTTTATAAAAAAATTTAAACCAGACTGGAAACTTTGTCACCCGCCAGGAGTATATTGCCTGTGCACTCAATTTTTCCATCTGCACATATTTGCATATTGGCCGCGCAAGTCCTTATTTGAATACATTTCACATTATTATTAAAACAAATTTCTTGAAAGTTCGTGACTTCAGGCAGGCTGTCAATTGCGTGAACTTGCCTGCGCAAGAAACAAAGTTTCCAGCCTGGAATTTAAACCAGTGCAGAGTTTCAAAGAGTTTGAGCAATAAATATACAAAACACTGTCATGTAAATTGAATCACTTCATTCATACCTATTTAAAAAACTCCAATCATTTATGGATTGTGTAATCAAGCTTAAAAATATCTATTATATAAAAAAATTTCACAAAGTATTTCATTGACACTTAAAAAGAAGCTATTTAAGGTCAAGCATTTGATGGCATCACTTTTACAGTTGAAGGAATTCAACAAATCCGTTTAGAATCTCACTCTTGCAATTCTACGAATAAGCTTCATTGCTTCTAAACCCATTGACAGTCCAGCCTACAAAAAGGAAAAAGGAAAAATGTTATACACATTTTACGCCTTAGTCAATTTTTAACCAATTTATAAATCTATAATTAGTGACATTTTCATTAGTTTTTAATTCACTCAATATAGAACAGAATAGCACACAAGTTTTTCAAAGTTATGAAAAAGCTTTCACAGTTTTTAGTCAATGGAGCAATCAAGGATTTTCATTGCTTTTTTGTGTAGCTATTGATTATGAGGGTATCAAAAGAAACCTTCTTCCCCATCCACAATACTTTGATGTATGATTTGATGCAGCAAGCACATTTCCAAATCTATGATTTTTTATCAAACTTAATAAACCTGTTAAGTCTTAACAAAAGTTGGAAGCTGAAAAAACATCTCTGTTTGTAATTGAAGAAAAAACTGACAAGATATTTACTATTATCATGTTTTGACTCATAGTTTCATTGATTAACATTTTAAGTTAAGCCTTGCTAAGTCATGCTGTGAACACGCTCCCCTACTCTTAGGCTGAATACGTAATGTGGCCAGGTATTAAATCCTGATTGTATCAGTTGTTTTGTTATGTTCGTTCAACTGTAGTTAAACTTTGAAGATACTCTTCCTGGCATTCTTATAGGTTATGGGCCCAGATCACGATTTCTTTGTCAAAATTGTATCAGTTTTTTTATACAGTTTACTGGAAGCTTTTAGGAAGTCTTGTCGGAATCGATCACAATGGCTGTTGCAGAAGACATCAATTTCAAGATAGAAAAGTTAACTGGTAAGAATTATCATAACTGGAAGTTCCAAATGAAGATGTATTTATTCAGCAAGGATCTGTGGGAGATAGTAACAGGGACAGAGGTATTGGACGAGATCGCATCTGCACAAGAACAACTAATATTCAAGAAGAGAGAATCAGGCCTTGGCGAGCGTATGTTTATCTGTGGCAGCAAGTCTTCAAATTTCCGTACGAGAAATTTACGAAGAAAAGTCTCTTTCAAAGAAAATATACTTTCAAAGAAAATTGTATTCTGTGTGCATGAAAAAAGGTGAGAACATGATTACTCATATAAATTACGTTAAAACTCTTTCGGAACATTGGAAGCAGTTAATGTCCCTATGGCTGAGAAAGATTTTGTGATAATTTTGATAAGTAGCCTCCCTGATGAATACAATTATTTAATAACAGCTCTAAAAACGCACAGGCTGGAAGTGAGAACTATACCAAGGAAGCTTTAATAAGCAGTAGAGGACAGGATCAGAAGAAGCCTATGGACTTAAAAAAGGTTAAATGCCACTATTGCAAGAGGAATAGTCACATTGCAAGGGATTGCTTCAAAAAGAAAGCCGATTAAAAAAGCGCCTAACGCCGAATTTTCGAACAAGGTTGAAAAAGTCTCCAGGAAATCTCTGAAAGTTGCTTTAGCAACAGGAAGTACCAGCATGAAAGGTGATGAATGGTGGATTGACTGAGGAGCCTCGCAGCACATGACGCCAACCAAAAAGGGAATGGTGGAATACGAGAGTTTTAGGACTCCTGTAAAAGTAAAGCTTGCTGATAACAGCACATTACTTGCCTATGGAAAAGGTAAAGTGGCTTTATTTGCATATGATAGAACACAAAAGGTTAACGTTACCCTACATGATGTTCTGTATGTTCCAAGGATTCAAAACAAGTTATTGTCTCTGCCAACAACAATGATAGAAAAGGGGACTGAAGTTCAGTTTAAAGGACAATTTTACAATATAACAATTGATGGCAAGTCATATACCAGTGGCAAAAAATATGGAAAACTGTACAAACTTAACTTAGAACCAGTTCAGGGTTCTTTTTTTGGTTCTACAGCTGATAATGACAAAAGTCAATCAATATGGCATTATCGGTTAGGCCATTTAAAAGTCTGAATCACTGAGTGAGCAAGTATGTCAAGGTTGCCTCATGGGAAAGCAGCATCGCAATGCATTTCCGAAAGCATCATCAACTCGAGCAGCTGAGGTATTGTCAACAATACATAGTGACTTTTGCGGACCAATTAACGCGGAATCGATTGGGATGTCAAAGTACTTCGTAACATTTATCAATGATGCGTCTCGGTATACACAAGTTTATTTCCTTAGGCACAAAAGTGAAGTTCTAGAAAAATTCAAAGAATCAAGACAAGATACTTGGTACCGATAATGGTGGTGAATATTGCTCAAAAGAATTCATAGACTACATGAAAGAAAAAGGAATGCTACATCAAAGAACAACTCCAATGAATCCAGAGCAAAATGGTGCTGTGGAGCGCATGAAGAGGACAATTGTGAGAGCACCCAATCTATGTTACATCATGCTAAACTACTAACTTCATTTTGGGCAGAAGCAGTTAGCACAGCTGTATTTTTGCGAAACTGCAGCCCAAGAGTTGCACTTAATAAGCAGACACCATTTGAATGCTGGTATGGTGTAAAGCCAAATGTGTCAAATCTCAAAGTATTTGGTTGCATAGCTAATGTGCACATTGCTGATAAATATCGTCATAAATTTGATGCTAAATCAAAACAAGCTATATTCGTTGGCTACTCAAAGGGGTATAACCTTTATGATCTTCAAGCTAAACATTTCATTCGCAGTCGTGATGTTAGCTTCTCAGAGAGAGACTTTCATGACTTTGATACAACTGTCTTATCAAAATCTGATCATATATGTATTGAGTTTGATGGTGAAATTAGTTCAGACGTTGATGGAAATGTTATAGAAGAAGTGAATCATGAAGTCAACCACAATATCTTGAATCATGAAGTCAGCCAGTGGGAGAAACATATGAGGAGAACTTTAGAAGTTGCAAACTTGCAAGGTGCAAGAAAACGTTCTTCTGCTAAGCTGGCTGAGCAAGTCAATGAAGAAAATAAAAACTGTTTCAGTGCTGATATTCTAGCAGACGAAAATGATGACCCAAAAAAGATCCAGGATGCATGGACTGGAGAACATGCTAGTGAATGGAAAGAAGCAACTGATGCAGAATACTCATCATTAATTAAAAACAAAACATGGGACTTAGTTCCAATTCCAAAAGGAAAGAATATTGTTGGGAGCCAGTGGGTATTCAAAGTTAAGAGGAATGCAGATGGCTCTGTTGACCGCTTTAAGTCTCACTTAGTTGCTCAAGGGTACTCACAAGCTGAAGGAATTGATTACCAAGAGGTATTTTCACCTGTCATTCGATACTCTTCAATATGCTTATTACTTGCATTGGCAAACAAGAACAATTTAGAAATACACCAAATGGATGTAAAACGGCATTTTTCAGGGTAATTTGGACAGTAAAATCTACATGAAGCAGCCTGAGGGTTATGTTAATGCTGATAAACCAAATCATGTATGCAGGTTAAATAAACGAATCTATGGTCTAAAGCAGGCAGCATGCTGCTGGAATACTGCAATTGACTCATTTCTAAAGGAAATAGATACAAATGAAGCAATGCCGATTCACATTTCTACATAAAATCTGAGAAGAAAGCTGATGGAAAAGTCAGCTTTGTCATTATTGCTCTTTATGTAGATGATCTTCTCGTTGTGTCAAACAGCAATGCCAATGATAAATGCAGAAAAGAAGCTGTTAAGTCAAAAGTTTGTTATGGTAGACCAAGGAGAATTACACTACATACTGGGGATATTCATAGAAACAGAGCAGCTAAGACACTCATGATAAAACAATCAAAATCTTTGGAAATTATTTTGAAGAAGTTTGATATGAAGAACTGCAAGCTGGTATCAACTCCATTAGAGCCTGGTAGGAGGTTTGTGAAACTACATAAAAATGTGACCCCAGTTGATGTTCAAAGGTACCAAATGGCAACTGGCTGTTCAATGTATGCAGCGACTGTCACTCAACCAGATATAGCAGCAGCAGTAGGAGTTCTTTCACAATTTATGTCACACCCAAGCAAAATGCATTGGCAAGGAATAAAGCCTATATTTCGCTATATAAAAGGAACTGTGAGCTATGGTCTTAGGTCTGAATCCTTCAGTAAAATGAATTCAAGCCTACTTGGCTATTCTGATGCTGATTGGGGTGGTGATTCGTCAACAAGAAAGTCAACATCAGGCTATTTATTCAAAATATGTGGTTGAATTATTTCATAGAAAACAAAGAAACAACCAGTTATTGGCTTATCATCAACTGAGGCAGAGTACATAGCTTTATGCTCTACTACACCAGAGGCAGCCTGGCTGAGGAGACTGCTTGAAAGCATTGGTTTTGCGTAACAAGAACCAAGCACAGTCTATGAAGATAATCAAGGAGCTATAGCACTCTCAAAGAATACAAAGAACCATGCACAAACAAAACACATTTATATAAGGTATCATTATATCAGAGAAGCAATTGAAAAGAACAATATCATGCTTGAGTTTTGTCCTACAGAACAACACACTGCTGATATTTTGAATAAAGGACTTGGAAAAGAGAGATTTCAAAATTGCGTGTTTTTACTCGTAGTATCATTGATTGACACTTTGAGTTCAGACTTGCTAAGTCATGCTGTGAACACGTTGCCCTAGTCTTAGGCTGAATACATAATGTGGCCTAGTATTGTATCCTGGTTGTATAATGTGTTTTGTCATGTTTGTTCAACTGTAGTTTATCTTTCAAGATACTCTTTCCAGCATTCTAATAAAAACCTAATTTGAAGGACATGAGAATTTATAAAATCATGGAAAATGTTTATTCAAAATCAAGTCTAATTATGTCTTGTCAACGCATCAGATTATATTGTTGATTATTACAATGCTCAACCTAGAGATAAACATATGTTACCTTTTGTGGAACTGAATGAGCGGCATATCTTTTGCAACTTTCAACAGTATTTGCTAGCAACATAGCAACTGTCATTGGACCAACGCCTACAAATTGAACATATAATTTTTCCAAATACTTTTGTATCAGCAAAACAGTGTGATTTTGAAAAAAGTGGCATTAAGGGAAGGAAGTAGATATGTGGTAAATTAATATTTAAAGTGCCTTGAACCAACCAACTATATTGACATCAATCATACAACATCTTGATTATAAGATTCAGAAAATCCTCTTTCCAATTCATACTCATTTTACAACGATGGATCTGTGGTTAGGGTCGCTAACTACAGATCCAATGGTTTGATCCAATGACATGATAAAACTTTCACTCAGAATAAATAGAGTTGCCAGCTCTCTGTAATTCCAAGTGTAGCAATCATGGGATGTGGTCACCTTGAGAGGAAAGACCAGGAACTGCTATATAAGCATAGCTTGCCTGTGTCTCAGCGTTCAGCGTGTTCAGAAGCTTGGTAGCAAAATACAAGTACCCTTATTATGAACCATCTATTATGTTTTCACAGAGGAGCCTTTTGAAATTATTTCTAACTGAACAGTTTTCTTGGTGATCCCATTTTGCATTGTATAAATAAGTCTTCTACTATTAATTCCTTTGCAGATATGCTATCTTTAAAGTTCAAAACAAGCCCAAAATCTGTGGTGGAAATGAAAACTCTAAGTTGAAAACCCATAAAAACTCTAGCAAGGTTTCAAAATTTTTACCTGAATTACTTTGTATCATGAAAGGAGAAGATATAGCTTTGTCCTACCTTTGATGTTCAAAACACATATGTTTATGCACAAAATCTTTTCAAAACATGAATATAAATCAACTTTCCCTATATTATAATACAAAATGGTTGCATACTTGCATGAAAATTTAGTTATAATTTTTCTGAGGTAAATATTTTCTTTTGATTCAAGGTCAGGCCTGGTCGTTTGAGGCCAGCAATCGCCAGTCAAGTAGTATTCAACCATATGGAAAAAACTTACCTCCTGGAACAGGTGTTATCCATCCAGCTGCTTTCTTGCATTCATTGTAGTCTACATCACCAACCAGTCTTTGACCACTTTTCTTGGTTGCATCTTGAAAAAACAAAACATTGAATTTAAGTGTCAAGGTGAGAGCTGGATAGAAGAGTTTGGCAAAAAAATTAATAGTAGGAATTGGCAAAAAAACGCCTTCTACATGATTTTTTGTATTGATAAGTTTCTGTAGGAACCTTATCAATTTGTAAAATAAAATGAAGTGTAGAATAAAATATTTTATACCTGGTATTGCTGTTATACCACAGTCAATAACAACAGCACCTGGTTTAATCCAATCACCCTAGAAATAAGGGAATACAGCTGAATTTTTCTGAGTTTTTTATTCACTTGAACAAAGTATGAATAATACTATGTTTGAAGACAGCTAAAAAGAGAGATGATGGGTTTCAACAAATAATTTTCTTTTATATATAATATTATTCATTCTATGTTATAAATTAATTCCCTGATTTGGAACTGACTGATCCAGTAGTTATGAAAATGGTTTGATCCAATTCAAAAGCTGTAATGCCAAAGTCATTATTTGCTAATGATGGCTAAACACTTAATATACAAAATGTATGCAAAATTTGTTCAAAGGTTAAAAAACTTTAGATTTCATATCCATTCACTCGTTCGTTTCCTTTATTCTGATGAAGCCCTGTATGCCAGGGCGAAATATTAGTATACTCTTAAATTTAATTTATTTTGAAAATTTATTTCGTGACATTGGATTCTCGTCGTTGTATTGCTTTGTTCCTGTATACCTTTCATTTGAAATCTCATTGCAAGATTCACAGAATCCTGCGGACAGCCTATCCTGCGGTTCTTCCTTCTCACACTTTAAAAAACTTTACACTAGATTGTAAAATTTGCATCTGCTACTTTTACTTTTCTAAAAAGGGTCTGATCTACTACAAGGAACATTGTTACAAAAAGGGAGCAGCTCTCTGAAAGAAATTTCTTCAGATAACATGTTTTGATTAGCATTAAATAGGTTTTCTTGCTTTATATGACTTTGGTCTCACTTTTTACAGTTGAATAAGAGACTATACTGAATGTTCAAATGGAATTCTGATGTTGAGCACACCTACTACACCCATTTTTGGTCAGACTGATATTTCCAAAAAAATATTTCGTAATAACTGAAGAAATGGAAAGTCATAATGACAGCATTTGTTCTTACTCTTGCTTTTGAAGCTGCATATGGAACTTTCTAGATCTGAGCTTATAGAACCATTGACTAAGCTGAGTAAAGGACTACCACTACCAAAATGTTACCAAGGTCTACCAAAATTTGATCAAGAAATCAAATTTACTTTGAATGTTAAAAATGTTTCCAGCTAGACTTTTATTAAATCCTCAAAAATTCTTTGTTACACAGTTAATTATTTGTTAAATCCCCAAAATAAACTGCAAAGGAGACCTTCCATAAAAAAATCTTTTTTGAAAACAAGAACAATTCCATTCAATAGCTTTTATTAGTTAAAATTCAATTCTGTAGAAATTTTTTGAGTGAGATGTTCAAAACATGCTCAACATTCTGCATAGAGAGTGGCAAACTTTAAAGGAACAATTGTCTAAAATTCTTAATGAGACAAAAATCCTATTTTTTTTCATAGAAAAATTAAGAGAAGCATACCTTGACCATTTCAGCTACACCAACTGCAGCAACAACAATATCTCCACTTCTTACCTAAAATTTTACGAAAAAATAGCAAACAAATGCGAGTGATGATGCACAAGATAATGCAGAAGGTTCCTAGGAGGAAAGAATACTTTAGTGCATTTCAGCATTTCTGTTTTACATTTAGACCAAATATTGTTTAGTTGGTTCTGTGAACCACAGGGGTGTGGCTAGCTATTGTGCTCAAAAGGAGAGGGGTGCTCCCATCCAGTTTGCCAACAAAGTTGGTGAACCATCCTTTATTTGCTGATAAATCTGAAAATTCACTCAACTAGCACCCCTAGATGATAAAACAACCCAATAGAAACTAAGATATCTTTTTCCAAAGGGGAGGGGGGGGTCATCACAAACCTGTTGGGTTGCCACGGGCTACATTAAAATCATTCCGAACAACATAAATGTCTGATCACAGTTTTCTGCTAGATTGCTTCTCTGCAAGGAGTATTTAAATGAAAAAAGCTTATTAGAGTTATTCAGACAGTTGATGTTTTGCAACTAGTAAAATGCTCTTGCCTCCCGGATTAATAGCTAAAATGTAAGAAGATCCGGTGCCTCAACAATAACCACAGCATTAAAAGAAAGCAAACCAAAAAATGGTCTCACCATACAACAAGCAGAGATGTATACAGATAAGACATAATGTCCTTAAGTAAGGAAATGTATCAGGCTCAACCTGCAATTGGATCATTTTCTCTCAAAACCAAAAGTAAATAAAACACTCTTGTAGCTTCAGTCTATTTGCCAATTGTCTTAAAATGTTAGCCAAACCTAGGCAAATCTCAGTAAAAAAGACTCAATCTTATGCACAGAAAATCAAGATATACTGTTTACTTACAACATCACGCAAATTCTTTGTTCTAGAATGACAAATTGTAACTGTAGCATGATTCCACGTCAAAAGATTTGCCATAGGAGAACCCTGGAATTCAGAGAACCGACACTAAATTGTTTGAAAATCTTTGAAACCCTAAAATATTTATTATCCCCTGCAGACACAGCCTAATAAATAGTCATAAAACTTCCATAAATGTTATAGATCCTTTTACAGAATATGGATGACCATGTTAGCTTGCTTGATATTATCTTGATATGTTATGTTGTTGAGCAAAATATTTTTGAAATAAAAGTCTTGGTATTTAGTTTTGCAATAAAGTCTTGGCAATTTGTCTGTTAATATTATATAAAGTCTTTCCAATGAAGAAGTTGGGGTAAGGGTGTGGGGAGCTGTCTATCAAGGGAGAAGTCGTGAGGGGTTGATGAAAACAACTACAATGATCCCATATCAATTGAGTAATTCTGACACCAAAACAACTTATGTTTATTTAAGGGTACATTTTTCAATCATAAAAACATACAACAATCTTGCTTCTGCCAAGTACAACAGCATTTGCACCTTGAACTTTAATGTCTGCAGAAATTAAAGGGGAAATAATGATAGCAGTAGAAACGAAGATCTGGTTGTTTGATTTTTCTGGAGAGCTGTAAATTGTTCACTTCGTTATTTTTTGCAAGCTATTGAAACCTACAAAACATGGACTAAAAGGCGAGGAATATGCTAAATACAGAGTATAGTATTATCTGAAAATCACTGATTGTTGAATTCTGAAAAGATTCAAAAAATTAAAGAGAATTATACCAAACTTTGTTGATAAGAAGCAAAAGTATCAGTGTCAGGTTAACAATCAAACCATGCCAGCCTACATTTAATTGATGCCATGTCAGAAACACAACTCATCTACTGCTCATCATTTTCAAATCTACATGTTTTAAATCATGCATTGTTTCCTATCAAAGTCATTTTTCTTCCACAAACCTGAAACTTTGGAAAGCTAAACCTAGCCACTGTTTTCTAACAGATATAGCCTTTGATCTTTCAAACCTCAAATAAGTAGGCAAATGTCATAGTTCTCAGCTGTTTAAAAGCCAATAAACCTAACAAACAAAGCACTCTTACCTGATTCTTTTATTAACTCCAAACATCCTTTAGGTGTACAAGGAATAAAACAGTTACCGAGCTCACCACGTGACAATCGCCCAGCATTGATATCATTGATACTGCAAAAGAAAAATCAATTTACATTTTCCCTCAAAAATTTATAACAAGAAATTTATCATCAGATCTTCTAGAAATGAAAAGCAGAATTCCAAATATCATTCCAAATATTATAAATGACATGAGACTGAAACATTTAAAATGAAGTTGCTAACAAAGATTTTATATTATTACCCATCTACATCCTTCTCTGGAATAACCTTGTTGGTGCACAAGGCTGAATCAATGTTCTCCATACAATCCAAAGGAAGTTGGACAATAATGCCATGACAATCTGGGTCTTCATTTAGTTCCTGGATCCTGTCAAGTACCTGAAAGTAGAAGATAAGGATCTTCAAGAATCTGAAGAGAACTGCAATCATATAAAGAAATAGAAAAAAATATCCCACTAGGATTATGCAATACGGTGGTGGTAAAAATTATGGGGGCATGGGGGACTCAGGCCCCCTTAATCAGGCCTTTCATCAAAAATCCAGCTTTTGTCTGATAAGGTGCTAAAAGCCCATCCAAGATGTTTTCTTGTTGGAAAATCGTAGGACTGAGCTCCCCCCAAACAAAATCCTGAATTTTTGCCACTGATGTTTATACATAACCTTAAAGCAAACAAATTTCTTACAGCCCATTTTATAACATAACCCTGTTTATATTTTAGGTTTCTTTTGCATTATCTCTATGACTTTCATTTGCGCATAACCGGATATTTGTGAGCCGGTAGCACCCAAGAGGAATCAGATTTGCTTAATGATATAGTCTATGATATCAATAAGAACTTGATGGGTGTACAGATAATTTTAATCTTTGAGAAATTATATTCTGTCACTACATTGCTAATGGGTACAGAAGGAATCTTTGGGTCTTTTCTGAAGATAAAGCTCACACAATTTCTTTTGGATGAGCCATCGCTCCAAATAAAAAGAACCAATATACACAGTCAAGCTTGAAGTCTAAAACTAATACAAGCTCTTAATTGTAGAACTGTCATAGGAAAGTTCCATTAAGGAGCTGCATCCCTTCAACTTTGAACTAGAGGGCAATTTACTGCAGTTATGACTGAATTCTTCTGGGACATATTATACAAAATATGTTGACAAGATAGGCATGGTAAGTGGCTTTATGACTAAATTCTGAGTGACGCTAAATTTATGTTGTCAATAGTCCCTTGCTTAAGAGGGTGATATGGGAAAACTGGTGATAAATTTGAAAAATTTGATTTAAATATTAACTCTCGATGAAGTCATGAAGTCAACTCTCGATGAGTATTCAGTGAAAAGCTGCTGAAAAAAGTTTTAAAACACTTCTGAAAAGCAGGTGCCTGTAACAAAAGAAGTTAATTGAAAGGGGAAAGTCGTAAGATTCTACAGAGAGAACCTTCTCAATTCACCTCTGCTTGTGAAACTGTATTTGGAAGTTTGACATGCTTTGCATTCATTCCAAGCTACAAAATAAAACAGAATAAAACTTTGTGTTTTGACACAATCTTTTTAAAAATTCACTAGCTACCAATGAATATCGGGGACTAGATACAATCACAAAACCAACTTAAAACCAATGGAAAACCCAATAGAATGGGCTGATCTATTATTCATACCAATCTGCTCCAGATGACTGCAGACAAAATCTTGGATGGTCCTATAGAAAGCCTTTTACTCTGCTTGACTTAAGCCAGTGACCCAGCATGAAATGCTTGATACGTGGTTTAGCAGAGATTAAGAGATCAGATTCTGTTTAGATATTTTGACTACAAATTTGCAGAAAGTATGAAACCGATACTTTGAAACCAGCATATTTGCCTTGAAGGATAAACTTATGCACAAATACACTAAACAGACATATCTGACATAAAGAGGACACATCACCCAGAATGGCTAAATATCACGATTATTATAAAGCTGCTGATTTTATAGTTTAAAAGAGTTATTTCATGTAATTTAAAAGTTAGAGGACTCCCCTAAAACAGTGTTTCTATCATTTAGAGCAAGCTATATCTTCAAAAGAGTAAATTTAATGGAAAACAATACCAGAAATGTCTTATTTGGGTGAATTTTGGGCCAAATTTCAAATGGATATCATTTAGCACTGTTGAGCTATTGAAATTTAAAGTTGGCAAAATTGTGCTTGAAATTTTGGCATATTTTGACAAAAGTTTAAAACTCAATGATTTTTTACTTGTTTGAGCAATAAAGCTGAAATTTTCCACATTGTATTTTTCCAGAAAAGGTTCATACGACAGAGGTTTTAACAAAATCTGAGATAGTGCACATGCACACCTCAAGAATTGTTGGTGATTTGGTATGGAATGACCCTGTTGTAGCAATAATGAAAAAGTGATATTTACAGAATGAATGATACAGATATGATGTAATATTAACTACACTTGAAAAATATTTATCAACATTTAAAGATTTGAATTTATCTCTGTAATGTTTGCCTGATAAGGTCCCTTTAAAAGTCTTTATTCTTTTGGGTGAAATTGGATAATTCACAAAAATCATGCACCAATCACAATTTTTACAACTAGGGATGTAATCCTTTCAAATTCTTCAATTCAGTATAAGTTAAGAATTGATATGCAGCTTTCTGACCAGTTTATCCTTTCTTATCAGTTTATCCTTTATAAAAGTTAAGTTTGCTTTAACCAGAGACAAGAGCCTCTCTATTCAGGAATCATTTTAAATGTTAACCTGCCTTCAAAAAGACTTTCCTACTGGCAGAGATAACTTTCTAATCAAATTTACTTTTGGATTCTTATAAGTTCAAAGTAAGCATTTAAAGAACTTTTTTTCCTTTCATTCAAAATGAGGCTTAGACTCTAAACAATAAAACTCAATGCCTCAAAACCAGCAAAGCAGCACAATTTTCTACTAAGAAGATGAATAGAAGAGCTTTTTTATATTTCAACTCACTAAGAGGAGTCTTTCAAATTTTGGGTCTCATTCATAACAAAGTAAAATATTTGAAAGAAGACCACATGGACTCCATTCAACATTTTTTTGGGGATTTTAAAGACAATGGCAATTTAAAATTGTTGTTGAAAACAAAGTGACTTTCTGCAATACTTCTGAAAAACTGAGATATTTTGTGTAACCAGGTAAAGTTAACAAATTTACATATCACAAATACAAGATAATGTGACAATTGAAAGAAAATCATCTAAATATTTTGAGCCCCTTTTAATAGTCCTTAAAACATCAAGCACAATATCTTGGAAATTAAACAATTGAAAATTTAAAAAAAAAATTATGACTGAAATTTATACCTCTGTTGCTTGTTTGACTTTCGATTTGACATACACATTAGAGTCTTCTCTATTACCAACCTAGGGAAACAAATTTGCATCTAAAACATTAAAAAACCTCTTCAACATCTGGGTAGCCATATAATAAAGAAAGGTTTGCTTGCATATGGGCAGGGGTGGTCTGGACCGGGTGGTAAAGTGGTGATCACCACCCCAGCCCTGTGTAAAAAGTATTACGGGCCCTTCCTGCATCTGAGAAAATTTATTAACTTAATATCAAAGGCTTAATGCCCTAGACTGATTACTTTGCGATTAAAGTCCCCATACATGCACTCCAAACCACCCAAACCCTGGTTTCCATTATTTCAGCCATGTGTTCAATCTGACCTGTAACCTGGGTAACAGAGGCACACCATTTTGGACTCCTAAACAGAATGCAAAGCCCATTGTATATATGCCCACTTAGAACACTGTTATACAGGATATAAAGTATAGGTTGCAGTTATTGGTGGGGGGGGGCCATTGTGTGAAAATATTGTAAAATTCAAAACAGGAAATAAAAAAAGAGAAGATAAAAAGGCTGGTTACAGCCTCAAACTCAGATGGGAGGAGATTGACAGAAGGTTGTTGAAGGATAGAGATATGTAGCAGGATTTGGTAATGCTAGAGCCAAGAAGATTTGTTGACACAAAGATGAAGCAGGAGAGCAAAAAAGCCTTCTTTTCAATACTTCTCGTCTAGCGAATATCACCTTGGAAATGCTCAGGGAAGAACTGCGGGCATTTGCAAATTGCAAATTAGTGCAATTGGAGATCCAGAAAACATGATTCAAAGGAACAAGCTCTTAGAGAAAAAACATATGGAGAAGAAAACTGTGACTTTCAAGCTGGGAATTCGCAAAGAGAGAAAGGACCCCAAAGTCGACATCGACAACCTGTATCAAAAGGGGAAAAGCTTGCCAACTGGGCATACCCTGCACATTCAAAAATTTGTACCTATGCTCTTTTTATTTGTAAAAACAATTTTATAAGAACACAAGCATCAAAATTGGTCAAAAGTTGAGAACAAATTAAGAACAAGCTAAGGCTGAGCTACTGTAAAATGCAATTTTGAACAACATTTTATCCCAAAGACAAGGTATTTTGGCCATGTGTGGGTGCTTTTTAGTGAATATTCAATCTTGTCATCAAATGAAAGCTGTCACGCTTATTTTATTGGCAAATGATGCCTGAACATCTCCCTAGAGCAAAAAAGCTAGCAATTGCCCTGCTTACATCCTATTAATTAAAAAACAAATTAAGAACAATCAAGCCTCAGATTTTTGCAAAAATTAAGAACAGTCAGCCTGAACCTAAATTTACTGGTTCTTATAAAGAAAAGAATGAATACAACATGCACATAGCGGCATACCCATCCCTCTACAATGCGTATAGATGTGTGATGACACTTAGCTGCACCCAAGTTTTTTGTGAAAGATTATTCGGCCAGCTTAAGTTAAGAAAAGGCTGTGCTCCACTACCAGTCAACCAACTGCTACTGCTATTGATAATTTCAAGCAAAGAGAAAACTTTCCACTGGATTACGAGCAGGTCACTGACCAGTTTGCTGATTCATCTGCACTTCTTCGAAAGGAGCTCAAACTTTGAGAGCATAAAAACATTTTGCACATAATTTGTAACTCTATATGAGATTAAAAGCCTGTTTACACGCGAGGAAAGGTATGGATCCAATTGGGTTCGTATTTATGAATTAGAATTGATATACTACTGCTGTTGTTTAGCACATTGTTCTACTATCAATTTTTATTAAATTAACCATATTTCTAGGCTATTCTTTTAGTGGATGTGGTTAAATTTTTTTCCACCACACCCTAGGCCAGGCCCTTTGAGTTTGCTAGCCACCCTGCAATTTTGACGCCAGACCGCCCCTGCAAATGGGAGGAGAGGGCAGAATCACATTACTTTGCTAAAACTGTAATGTTTTTCTATAATGTAAAGAAAACATCTATAGTTCCAAAATGGCAGTACAACCACTCCACCTGGCCTCTAAGCTCCACCACTTTAGGTAAATTGCAAGATTACATACAAATTGAAGTACTGAAAGGCAAAATATTGAAATGTGTAGTATGCAAAACAAATAAATGACATAGAACATTCACAGAGCCTGGACTTTAAACTCTTGCAAATGCAGTTTGAATCAGTTCTATGACAAAACTAACATTCAACTACTTTGGAGTAGATACAAACTATGAGAAGGTGAAAGAATATTGTGGTCATTGCTCAAGTAATACAACCCTTTCATTTCCTAGGACCTTATTTCAGATGCCAGGTGGCGAAAGATAAAGAGCATAAAGAAGAAGGTCGAGGAGATCTCTAGAAACAATTCTCACCTGAACAATTGCAAGACCAGGTTTGAGGCCAGAAGTTTCCTTTAGCACTTTAACATCCTTTCCAACCTGCTCCCTTATTTTTCTGAAAAATTTGGTAAATAAAAATAGTCTCTCCTGAATTGAACAATCACAAAGTAATAATCCTTTTCAGCCTTTGATTTTTGAAAATGATGGATAGTGTTCAGAAAATTGTGTTGGTAACGTTGTTGAATAACGAAAAAGCTTTTAAAGTGGGAGTGTGCCATTAACTTTTCAGGAAATTTGATGTGTGCCCTATCTTTGATAAGAAGTATAATTCTTGTGTTTAATGCTGTTCATGGATGAGTCACTCAAATATGCCCTTAGTACTTTGTAAAGCCAGACAGTTGTTATGTAGAGTCACATGGCCACTTATGGAACAATTTGTCAGTAAAAATTGCTTTCCTCAGCTTTTCAGTACTTCTAATAAAATCAACATACTTCAAACACACATTATTTGTTATACAATCTACATGCTCGTGTAAAGGTAGTCTTATTGGATTTTCTCTCTTTCTACATGAGCAACATTACTGCAGGCCACTTTTCTTCGTGAAAAAAGGCCATCGCCCCTTATGGAACGACTCAAATTGAGGTGCCGAAAAAAAGAGTAATTAGCAAAATGAAACAATGGTAATTAGGAAAAGTAGAAGAAATATCATCAGCACAATAACTTTGTGTGCTTTCTGAATATAAACAGAAACAAACTCCTTCATATTAATATTTAACATTGCAGAGTCGTTCCATAAGTGGCGATGTGACTCTACCAAAACAAAAATCGATGGATGAAGTTGGCAAAATCAACTAACCAGCAGTGTTTAATGGCTATTGATCCTTCAGGGGCCACTAGTGCCAATGAAGCAGCTTTAAACTCAATTTTTTCAGGAGGAGCATGCCACCCCTCCTTTTTCTCCTGGTAGAATATGCCTAATGGTTTATGTCAATGGAAATTTACTTACTTTGCTATCTCTTTTCCACTTATAATTGTAGCCATCTTATGAAAAAACTTTCAGAATCTTGATGGCAATGAAATTCTGGAATAAGAAAAAACAAATTTAAATAATCTGATCAACATGCAGTTAAAAATGTTATGATTCCTTGCAAGCCTGTGTGGGAAAATATAAAAAATTGCACATGCTAGAAAGCAAGTTCAAAAAGAAGCAAATTTCCTTATTTTCAGTTGTAAGATATTAATCATAACAGCACCAGGAAATACTTGGCTGAAGGGGGCTTATGGCTTTGACAGGGGGATTATGAATTATGTTATAATGAGCTTTACAAAGGTATATTTCTTCGTAGTATGGTGCTTTGCAGAAGGGGTTATCAGGAACCCCTGATCTGGCACAAAATTAGTGAAAAGGCCATTTCTAAAATGAGGAACAAGCGGAACAACCCAGTAACAACCCAGTTACATGCTGAACAATCCAGTAACAAACAGGACAATCCAGTAACATGCAGAACCATCCAGTAACAAGTGGAACAACCCAGTAACAAGCAGAACAACCCAGGAACAAGCGGAACAACTAACAAGCAGAACAACCCAGCAACAAGCAGAACAACCCAGTAACAAGCAGAACAACCCAGTAACAAGCATATCAACCCAGTAACAAGCAGAAATGGGAATTAATTCCTGCCTGTTTTGAGTTAACTCCTGTGATAGCATGATAAATCATAGAGTGCACTTTGTTACAGAAAAATACAGAAATAAGCACAAACATTGGATCAAGCTCGCACCTCTAATTATGAACGGTGTGCACTTTTAGTTGGAAAATGGTCAGCTAGAATGTCATTTTAATGTACGATAGTTTTCCTTGTCATATCTGTATCAACCATGGCTATTTCCATATGATGTCAAATAGAAACATTAGACAATGTCACTGCACATGTACTCTATTGCTATTACAAACAAACCATTTTATTGTTACCTATGTCAATTTACCAAAGTATGAACACTGTTTTCTGTAGAACATCGTAGAAATGTATAAAATCAGGAATGATAGTTCTAAAGGGATTTTTCTGAAACAAAGACCAAAACAGGTAAAAAAGGTTTGAACAATTTTTTTGCAGTACAGAATTTGAAAATGGTTTTGAAAAAAGCAAACATTTTACAACATACTATTTCGTCTGGCACTCCTCAGAGCATAAAACGTCAGAATCAGGGTCCGAAAGAACACAATGAAAAATATATGCCCATATCTTATGTTGGAAGGAACATGCTGTTTTATCCCATCTTTAGGTTGTGCGTCCTACATAGCCAGAATCACACTGGCATGTAAATTCATAAACGGCGGAACTTTTTTGGTTGGTAGGAACACAATCCTTTTGAATGGATGGAAGGGCTCTCCTAGTGCTGTAAACAATACAAGGATTGACAGGAAAGAAATATTTAGTTATGGCTTGACTAATCTGACTCTCGAATCGCAAGGAAGTTTACCAATCCATGGTTTTTTCAAATAAACTGGGAACTTTTGCTGACCAAACTTTCAAACAGCCAAGAAACTTGCGATCTTCTCCTTTGCATAAGATAAAATGACGTCTTCTTGATAGCCATTGTCCAGAAAGATTGTTCTAAGTTTTTTCAGTTCAGCGTGCAGATTAGATTTTGAGCAGATCATAAGTGCCCTATGTACCATTAAAAAAGGTTTGTTAGAAAATATAGTGAAAATTTTTTGTCAGAATCCCTACTAATCCCCTTTCTTAGCTATAGAAAAGAATAATACGGTTTAATCTTATCATTTTTTATATGTTGACAAAAAGAGCCAATTAATCTAGTTGTAATACCACAATACTTGGATGTTATATGTGAGACAATCTTTTGTAGCCTTTTGTCTTCTTAGCTACCAAACAGTTATTTTCTTATTTACCACAGCAATTCCAGTTATTTTTTCTTATGATATAACCTAGGTATAGCCAAAATTCACTGTAATTTTAACAAAGTTAACAAATTCAGGCAGTAAAACAAGCGGCCTCTGCACATGTTTTGGTTCTTCGCAAGATTTACAGGTTGACACATGATACACACAGATTAGAAAACATTTGAGGCCGAGCCAAACTTGGCATCAAGACTGCGAATAGCCTGTATGCCATACCAGTTGCTTTAAACTTAAATTGGAAATGAATTTCAGTATTTAAAAATTACTTCAACAGTTTTTAAATGAAGTTGGAAGTTTCTTACCTTGAGGTGGTATCGTGTTTTCCAATGTGGGCAATGGATAACTACCCAATATTATTTTGACCTCGCTCTGGGACCATAATAACAGCTCAGCAAATTCAATTCAACAAGTAGATACAAACGGCCAATGCGAAGGCATGGGTTTGTCTATCTTTGGGCCGTTCGTCGTTGGAGAAAAGAAAATACATCAGTAAAAGAACGCATAAAACAACATTCATATAACACCTTACTCTTATTAAAGTTTAAGCAAGATAATCTAACAGGTTGAGGTGGATCACCTTTCATGGCTATGATTTCAAAAGATCAATGAGGCATTATCAGGGGTGTTTGAAATATGAAATGATTGAGATCTTCGGAATGAAAATATAAATATTTAGGTTTTTAAGTCTTGAAATATGAAATAACTTTGGTTCCCAGTATGAAATGTGAAACAACAAAATAACTGAATACCTCTTTAAATGTTGTGTGAGAATTATCTACTTGATAACAGCATTGACTTTTTATACATTCTGAAAAGTTACCTAACAAGTTACTGTAATACCTTAACTACACGCTACTTTACATACAGTACAAAGACGATACCCCGGGGAGCATCAACTCTGTCTACCCCGGGGCCATAACATAGAGAGGAAAAAATGCATGTTTTTTGTCATTACAAATACTTAAAGAAATAAGCGACTATTAATCTCAAGCATTGACTCAAGTGAGTATTGATCTGTAAACCTGTTAAGATACCAACCATATTTAACCTGGGTTGTTCTTTTAATCGTTTCAATCTTTCTAGGGGTTTTAAAGGCTTTTCATGCTTTTACGTATAGGAAAAATACCAATAGCATAAAATATAGTAATAATAAAAATAATAATAATAATTAATAATTTGTTTAAAGTTGGCGTACTAAATGAACGTCTAATAGCTATAAAGAAGCTAATTAAGGCCAACTATCTATGAAGAATTAGTATGAAATAAATATATGGTACAATGCTAGTAATGTTTAAGGTATAATATTCTAAATAAAACCTAACCCAGCAATAAATATTTTACACAATCTACAGTCGCATTCTACAGGGTCTGCTCTTAATTCTTTTTTAAATGTGGCCAATGATTGGGACTCTCTTATACTGTGAGGTAGTGTTTGCCACAGTTTTTGACCGAAACATCTCACAGTTTCTATACCATAAGAAGTTGTCCTGGCTTTTGGAATGCAAAGATTATTTTTAGTTCGCAAATCATAATGTACATTTCTTGTTTCAAAAATCTCACTCATGAAACTAGGGTTCAGGTTATGTTTGGTTTTGTATATTTCTTTCATCAAGTACTTTAGATTGCGTTGGTGAATGGATACTTCATTATCCAATGTCAGCAATGCTTCGTAGTCAGCATGACTGTCTTTATAAACAATTCTGAGTGCTCTTTCGTGGATTTTATTCACTTTTGCATTCGGACATCTGTCATGGAACATCCAAATTAGGGGGCAGTAGCTAAACTGAGCTTTTATGAAGCTGTTCATTAAGGGGACGCAGTTTATCAGAACCCATAAATGGCGATACTCTAACAAGGGCATGCAGTTGTTGACTGGCTATTTTGTATAATTTGAGTCGTGACACTTGAAATTAGGATTTTTATCTATTATCACCCCTAGTAGTTTTTCTTCAGAGCTTTCTTCAATCTTCAACAATGGCCTCGCCGATTTTGATCTTAATGCCATCTTGGTTTAGTCTACCACAAATACTTTTGGCTTATATTATCTCAACGAAATTGACGAGAACATCAAATGACATCATAAACATGCTTTATCCACAATGCTTGTTCCACATATACGTACTAGGAATTCTTCCTAAGACCACTAAACCACTGTTTTGTAAGGCATTTAGATGCAGGATTGATTTGCTGGTAATAATATTCAGAAATATATTGTTCGTTCTTCAATCTTTTTAACTGGAGCTAATATGTTCACCAAAAAGTTACTCTTATCTTGAAAATGTTGTTTCCGACCATATCTTTGATTTCAGAATGGCGCCATTAAGTAATGCTAAAAGTGATTATAAGTTACGCAAAAAGATCAAACTATAAGGCAATATTATGAAAAGCCACGAACATGGCCACTTCAACTGTTTTTTTCAAAGTGGATGAAAGTTTAAATCATAAAAATAAAGGCCACTGATCGTTTTAAGCCTTGGAAGCATTCTGGTAATTGACCAGAAGTCGCTTTACTGGAAGCATGAAAAATGCACGGTCAGCAAAACTGCGACTTTCGAATTTTTCAAATCTGATGATACCATCAAAAAAGCTTGTAACGTGGACGTGACTTCCGGTCTTCTGCCAGAAGGTTCCCAAGGCTTAATGATTTAAACCTTAAAAATTTCGGTTAGGCTGGTTGGTAGATGGTTATGCGAAATTCCCTGTCTATAAAATATCTATTCTTTAGAATCATGCAGTCAATCTGCAGCATTTATTATGATTTCTTCTTGAGAACATCGCAAGAGTTGATTTCATTAGTTTTAACATTATTTTCACATTAACATTAGCTTCGCATTAACATTATTTTAGCATTATTTCTTTCTATTGAATGCGCCTAAGACTGTAAGTGACTAGAAATAACAGTATGGCTGTAGTTTGAAAAACCTATTAAACAACTGAATTTTCTGGTTGTTAGGGCTTTTGGTGGCTAGTAGAGCCAAAGAAGATGCCCTATAATTCAAAGTTCAAAAATCATCCAAGTTCATTGTCTCTTCCAGGCATGTGTATAAAACTGGCCCCTTCAGGTTGTACCCTCCACGCAAAAGACCTAAGACTATCAGGTACATGTATGTTTTTCCAGTTTCTTTTTTAGTTGTTCTCAAAAAATAAGTTGAGCAAAACAAAGATAAATATTTCATCCAGTGTCCCAATGATTCCACAGAGATTCAAAGAGAATGAATTCTTCATTTTTACATCAAACATTTCGTAAAACATCTCTTTTGTTCTCATGTTTGATCAAAAATGTTGCGTTCGTTTAGCCACCCCTTAAAACATTTGTTTTACGCACGCAAGCGCAGTAAATTTAAATTCGGCAAATACAACGCAGTAACTGTAGGAAGCTGTGCAGCAGCGCTTGACCATCACAGATGCTTAACATTTGTTTGATTCGTTTGGCCAGGTCATCAAACATTGTCCAACAATGTTGGTACAAAAATGTTTGACAATGTTTTACGGATGTTTTATTCGTTTGGCCGGGCCTTTACCTATCAAAACCATAAAAATTCTCTGCCAATCTGAGAGCTTTGTAAAAGCTATTGTAAATAGTATCAATTTCTCGTTCAGTGTTGGTCGTTTCCCAATCATCTGGAAAAGAGCAAGAATTGTTCCAGTCTTTAAAGGTATGGTGACATTCAAACTGTTGAGAACTATCGCCCCATTTCAATTCTACGTAGTCAGAGTAAGATCATAGTGAGGATTGCATTCAATCATATTTATGCATCCCTATTCAAGGAAGGATTGCTTCACAAGCTGCAATCAGAGTTCAGAAAACTCCACTCAACTACGTCTGCCCTCTTACACATGATCGATATAATTTACACTGACATGGATAATGGTCTATACTATAAACTTGTGCTCTTTTTCTAGACCTTAGAAAAGCATTTGATACCGTGAACCATCCATTCTTGTTATCCAAATTTAAATCCTTAAATCCAATGTCAAGGATACCTGTAAAAGAATTTATTATGGCCTCCAAATAATAAGACGTGTTAAGCCATCTGTGCCGGAGAGTAGCTTGATCCTCTTTGCCAACTCTCTTGTCCTAAGCCATTTGGACTATTGCTCACCAGTCCTGTATAACCTTAGCGCTGGCTAGATCGAAACATTCTTGAGACTACAAAAGCGATGGGCTTTTTTGATCTATAGCTTCAACAGAAGGACACCTAGCAAGCCTTTATTTATTAAAGTAAATTGGCTACCTCTCCACCAGCGGATTGAGTTCAACAAATGTACCATTTGTACCATGTTTGAAATCTTTATAGGTGTAGTTCCAGCATACCTTTCAGAAATATTAATGAAAGTTTCAGATACCCATGGACATGGAACAAGAAATGCCAGCAGGGGATGCTTTCATTTTCATATAATTTATTTTTGATCTAATCGTGGAGTTTTCTCAGCTCTCAATTTGAACAATTTGTTCTGAACAATTTCCCAAATTGGACAAGTCCTTTAATTGTTTCTTGAGCTAAAGTACTGCGTGCCTAGTGCATGTTTGAAAATGATCAGAGCTGTTTAAGTTGCTTTCTTATCAGAACTGGGTAGCCTGTAAAGTGAGAAATTTCATAAAATACGGAAGAGGAAACCGATCATAGTTAAGTAATTGTCTTCTAGATCTGCTTAGAGTGTATAACATCAGACAATCGGACAATGATCAGAAAGTAAAAGGACAATATAAGCAGGGGCGGAAAAAAGAGGGAATGATTCCCGTGAAAAGAAATGTTGAGGAACACGAAACTAACCTAAAGGGGTGCACGAAAAAGGCTTTTGTTGCGGGGACCGACAAATAGCATCAGAAGGATCGAAAGTTGCCTGATATTTGTTCACTTTTCATTTGTTATGAATAGAAAAAGGTCATTTGTTCTGCCCTTACATTAAAGTTATTACATGCTCTGCCACTTTATGGTATCGTTAAAAATTTTAAAGTGACAACAGGCCATTAACTGAACTCTAATGATAAATGACTGTTTAAAATGAGCAGATAATTGATAAAAAAGCTCAATAAACTTTATAACCACAATGTTTTTGTGCCTTCTTAAGTAAGTTCGTAGCTAGCCCTTATTTAATAATGAAGACGAAAATTAGAAAGACTGAGGGAAATCATTTTATAAATATCAAAATTCTTATCTTTATTGTCTTTTGTAAGTATTTACATATTGTATAGTCATCCTCACTATGGTGCCCCCTGAAACCCGTTTACCAACTTCCCAATCACGAGGTCTCATGTAACTGAGACTAACTCAGATTTTATCAAACGCGCAGTAATGACCAATTTCTGAAATGTTTAATTATGAATTAACAGATATTTCTACAACGTTGACTTTCTTGATTATCAATCAATGAAATCGA